AGAACCACACCTCTACACCTCCACCAAGCATCACGCCCTTCAACTTCTTCGCAACCTTACCAAACACACTGCAGCCTCCTTTGAGGCAGCAAAACAGATACGCAGCGGCCGCCACACGGACCTCGAGGTGTATGCAATCCGGCGTATGGCCGCAAACCTGGAAGAACCTGGCCGCAGCCGAGCTCTCCACATCCTCAACAAAGCCTTGATCTACCGCAACCTCACGCCACCAAAACCAAACATCCCATTGACAGTGCCCTTCTTGGCCCACGACGACTTTACCAAGCACTGCCAACAATGGCTTCGTACCACCATCCAGCAGCACAAGCATTTCACCATTCCCCTCCACCTCCCCTCCCACCGACTGAGGGAAGCAGCCCACAAAACCCTCCGCTCCCACCTACACAACCACCGCACATGGGAGGACACCCTCCACTCCCCGCCAGATCCAGCAGACCTCCCCTGTGCATGCGATCACCTTCGCACCCTCCTGCAGGATCCCGACACCCCCACCATCAATGGCCACTACATTCTCACACTTGACCAACTCAACGCCAATATGAACAGCACCTATTACCCAAGCAAAGCTCGGTATTTCCTCATCTTCACCAAGGCCTACACCAAATGGCTCAAACTACAGGGGCTTCCACCATCCCTCGCTCAACACCTACCGCCTTTCCTTGAGCACCAATGGCGCCTTCACAACACACACCTCAAGCAACAACCCCGTTTTACGGCCCGCCTGCTTCGTCAACTCCAAGAACATTTGGGACAACACACATTACTCCACCATGCCGACCATGAGCTCCAACAACTCCGGCTGTTTTGCCCTCGCCAATACTTCACTGGTGCCTTGAACACCTGGCAATCTCCCGAACTTTTCGAACCACTTCCCCACATCACTGCCGCCAATATCCACGACCACCTGGCCGCCACGGTCCCCCCCATTTTGCGCACTCGCTACAAGTGGGGCTTCCGAAAAGACTTCAACATTCCCTACGGCGTTGTCCACCTCAAGGAAAAGAAGCACTGGCAAAAAGGCCGTACCATTATTTCATACTTCCAATCACTCAGTGGCAACCTGTTTCGCATTACCAGCCGTGCCCTTGACATCATCCTCCAACACCTCTACCCCCAACATCCCGGTCAAATGTCCATTCCCCAGCTGTGGCACCACTTTCACAGCTACCTCACCCAAACCCCACCAGACATCTCACTACACGCCACCAACGATGACCTGGTCGGTTTCTTCAACTCAGTCCCACAACACCGACTCATCGATGCAGTTCACTCCCTCGTCCACCACTGGCAGCAACAGCAACCCACACACACCTTGACGGTGGATGTCCAGGCCACCGGCAATCCTTTCCACCACTCCCACATTGGCAGACACCATCGGAAACACCCTACCCAACGCACCATCCAGACTTCCGACATTACCACCATCGTGGCTTTTGCCCTCAACACATGCATTTTCCGGGCTTGCAACAATACTTACAAACAAATCCGAGGGGCCGGGATTGGATCCCAGCTCTCTCCAGCCCTGTGCAATGTTGCCATCACCCTCATTGAGCACTCCTGGCATCAGATCCACAACAACCTCCTTCAACACACAGACCTCCACTTTACTTACTATCGATATGTCGACAACCGCTTCATTGTCCACAACGAACATTTCCTTCAACACCCGGCTATCCAAACCCTCATCCACCACAACTTCTTTGGCGACCCAGTCGAACTCGAACCGGTGGAGGATTTTCATCTCCTCGGTTTCAACATCGACCTCCCACAACGCACCATCACCTACATGCAACCTTCCCAACCCTGGAAAATCCGGGACTCCACAACCGCCGGGAGCCAGCGCTTGGCTCTATCAGGCCTCCAATCACGACTCCACACCATTCGAAAATACACATTCCCACCCTCCAGCGCTGACGTTGCTGCGGCTGAACTCGTCAACCTATATGTCCAAAAGGGGCATAACTACCACGCCTGCCACCGGTTTTTGAAAGAAGCGCCGAACGCGGCGACTTGTGTGTGTCCACCCCTGGACAAAGGGTTTTCCACCACCACCTTTCGCAAGCAGGGGGGCAGAGAGGACTTGCAAAGCTCTGCCCAACGAAGCTCTTTGCAAGATCCTAGGAAGCGGAAGCTGATCACTGTGTACCTGCTACCTGAACTTTTGACCACGCTGTCTAATTTGCCTTGTTTGTTTCCATGGTTCTTCATGCTACCACCCCCAAACCTTTTTTTTCCCCACCGCAGACTTGCAGCAGACTTGAGGCCGCGCAGAGTGTCCGATCGTTTTCGAGTCCAGCTGCCAACACTGTTCAACAATACAGTTTTTGCGGACTTATGCACCTTTCCGTTCCCTCGCCTTCCTTCTCAACGTGATACTTGCATTAACTGAAGAATTCAAGTTCGAAGTGTGAAACCCTTGGAGTCATAGGGGGTCCATTGATTTGAGAATGCTTTTTCAGGGGGGCTGGTTGTTCATGCAAGTACCAGCCCAACGAAGAGGCTTGCATTGAACACTGATATCAGTGGGGACGCTCACCGACGTACCTGCTTCTTTGGAACTGTTGCCTAAGCTGTGACTCTACTCTCCTGTAAAGTGCCAATGAGATCTGCAAAAACGAATTGACGACGTTCAGGCATATGCGGCATACGGATCTGGAACCATCTGGAACTTGTCATTCAGGTGACGGAGTGACTCGAAAGTCATGATCTTCAGGGAAGAACATGATGGACATCGTCAAACCTGGCCTGAACGTGCGATTAACCATAGGTACTACAGGTCTCCTCGTAATGCCAGCTGTGAAGGTGGGACCAAACCCGTGACAGCAAAGTGGACCCAGTTCTTGTCTACGTATACTTTGGGATCAAGGGTCGAAATGTACCCTCCCGACCACTAACATGGACCCTGACAATGAATTAACCCTCTGGAAGAATGTGTTCCTCTACCAACCGACGTGGTTTTCAGGATCCATGGGATCGTCTTCCAGGGTGTGATTGCTTCGAGCGGAAACAAACGAACGACAGGCCAAGGTTGGGTGAACTCAAGAAGCATGGGGGCATGTCCAGTTCATATTAATTGTTGGGTGGAATGTTGAGCGATCTCCATCAAGCGTTATTTAGTTCAGTTCTCATAGATGTTATTAGGTATAGCGTTTTCATACCTCGTGTGATTGATATTATCTGGATCTGGCCCACCGTCTTGGGCATGACTCAATGACAATGCGGCAAAGAAAATCTAGCAACCACTTGACTAGACTCTTAAAGGACCTTTATCGTCTCACCATATACTTATACCCTCCCCGAGCCTTTTTGTGGGCTGTAAGCTACACTGTTGATAAATCCCACAAATTGAAAGATTATAAAGCATCTTCAAATGTGGGGTTGACACATAAAAAATCAATGCGTCTACAGTAGATCTCCTGGAGGATTCCCCAGGACCTCCAAACATTCCAGCTCCAAAACCTCCCAGAGACAGACTCTATAAGATCTGCGCTGCATCTCCGCACATGATTTTCGACGCATGTGAAGCATCCGACCCACAGCGAGGTGGATTGTTCGGTTGCCCCTTTTCGACCCAGCAGTTCCCAACAAACTCGTTGAGCCGAAAGGAGGTTCTGCCGTTCTGCTCCTGAAACAACACCTCCAACAAACACCGCGGGAGGTGCTTTTGAAGGAACCACAAACTGGGTGTGTCTTCGACAAAAAGGCAACAACAAAAATACCCAAAGAGATGAGAAACGGCTTCCAAAACATGTTGAACAGGGATTTTACCGTATTTTACATGTCCATCTAATAGTGTGTTGGAAGAAAAAACCTTGCTGGATCCAATATATATGGATCCATGCTTCTGCCTATCCACTTCCGCCGCTGCCAAGAAACGAAACAACACGACCCAGTGATGTCCGAAATCGTGGATCCTTCAAAAAGATGGAGCTCAGCACATTGGTTTTCGCACCAATGTGGTCCCAAGATGGAGCGCTGATGAGGAATGTTGACACGGCAAGTCGGAGACGTTCTTGGACTTCTCCAAATGACGAGGTGCTGTCCCTGGAGCTAACATGGAAGTGGAACCCCCCCTGTTTGTAGAGGAAAATGGTCTTCCAAGGGGCGTGCTCATTCCGTAAAAGCCTTTCAAGGCCTTGACCACAAGCATCCTTCATGGCCAATTCACCTCGTAAGCTAATTTACTTAATTAGATACTTTTCAGAGGGCTCCTGGAAGATTTACTGAAGCTGAAGACCCTTCTGAAAACCGGCTTGTCTCCAAAGCACTGCCGCCTCTCCACCCTCCCTCAGCGGTTCTAACCAGTCCTCTCCCGCCCCATTGTTCTGTGCTTCAGCCCAAATCGCCCCGGAAGCGATGGGAGGATTCCTTCCCTCGCTCACTCCACCGGCACCAAGAACTGCACCATGGTCTTCTCCGGATTCATCGTCACCTCACTGCAGGAACGAGAGGCACGAGAGGAACTGGAACCACTCGAGGTGAACCGAGCATCCGAGATGGTCCATCGTTCACGTTCCAGGGCCCCACGGAACGATTCTGGGTTTTCCTCCGCAGGAAAAGGGGGAAACGATATCCCAGACACGACGTGTCTGGGACTGCCATAGGACTGCCGATCAGGCCAGGGGTGGTAGAAGTCGGGGTCAATGGGGCGGCATATATGGCAGCCCCATGGAGTGTCTGGTTGGAAAACTCCGTCTTTCAGCCAGAAAAAAACGATGGCCACACATGAAGACTTCCAAGACACTTTAACACGATCATGATGCTTGAAGTGCCTGTTGCCCACACAATCTGACGTTTGAGGTAGTACCAAAGTCCGTCTCTCCATGTGTGTGGAACAGGAGTTCCACAGCGTGAAACTCATGGACAGCTAGAGAAACATGCCATCACCGTGCGAAATCACTCTTTGGGGTTACGTTCTTAAGAGTAGGACATTGGAATATCATGGAACCTCCATGTCCAACTGACATGTTGACAAGTATTCAGCTCACACCATCAAACTCAGGAGAAGTCAAACACCAACGGCATGGGGCACCATCTTTGCGTCGACCGCCCAGGTCCCTCAATTTGGATCTCAGGCAAGTAGCCACGCCCAAGCTCTGCCAGCTCTCAATGCCTTCCATCACCAGCTCCTTGGTCAAAGCCTGCAACAATAATCACCAAATGAGTCGCTCCCTACTGTTTGCCCTACCTTTTTCATTCCAAAGAACCCATCCATCCATCCATCCATCCATCCATCCAAACCTACCCTTCAAGACCCCATCCTCCACCGCACCTATAGGGCAGCCAACCCATCTCACACCGTGTTACCGCAACCGCGCCACCGTCCACCGTCCACGCCCCACTCGCCTTGTGGCCGGCCATGCTGACCACGTGCGTCACATCCACCCAGCCGTCCTTCACCGAGTCCCGGCGGCTCAAGTCAGCCAGGATCCTCAGACCGACCGACCGATGGGCAAACGGAGGAGCAAGAGCAAGTGGGAAGGAACGAGCACGAAGAAAAGAATGAGTGGCCAAAGAAGAAGAACTCCTCAATACATAGTACGTCATTATATGCATGATTGGAGGGCTATACTCATGCTTCATTGAGGAAGGGGGCACGGGTGAAGACAGTTCAATGTAATCGAGCGTGATCGAGCGTGCCTGAATACAGCACAACAAGTGGAACGACCAAGTCTCCTAAACCGAACTCCACCAAAGCCACGACGAAGTGGCGAACCGGCAAAGCTGGGGCTCGTCAGTCCCATGGCGGGCCACCGCGAGTGCCAAGAGAATAACGGATTATTGGGTTTGGATTTTGTGATGTTTGTATCTTTTCCTATATATGTTAAGAGATGTTAATGAACCACCAAAAACAGACAAATAGATAACCCTTGTGAAAACAAGCCCATCCTGCAAACACCTTCAACACCTGGACCTTCAACAGTTGCAGCCCTAAAAGATCTAAAAGCCACAGGTGTTCGGCTATGCAAACCATGGTGCTCATAGATCACATCCAAAGGATTTTGCCCACGCTTCGCTGGCGCACTCAGCTCAATGCTCTCCTCAAAGAGCACGTGAAGGTAGCAACCAATTCGTCATTCGCATGGAATTGGAATTGCAAATGAGCTGTGTTTTACAAGGATCTCCTTACTTGACATGACAACTGAGGTTTAAAACGTGGCTCAAATGGATTCCTTTATGAATTACTGCGGGGCTTTGAGACCGAGGAACATGCAGCCCTGGGCACGAACAAGAAGGGCTCGCTCCCCCCGGGCCAATTCAGTTCTACATGATCCAGAAAACAATACGTTTCACTTCCAGCACCTTACCCTTCCCCACATACTAAAACCATCCTAAGCCACTAATTATGTGAGTCACTAATTATTAAATTGATACTACTAGCCGACCCTAGCCTAGCCTATACTTCTGTCCGCACCCAAACCCTGCAGGAACCCCACCTGCCTACCTACCTACCGCTTTTCCCTGCGCATTCCGGCACCGGCCCGGCGCGTTCGTCGAGTTCGTCGCTCGTCCTTGGAGGCCTTCATGAGGCGCATGGCCTCGTCGAAGTCTTGACGCTCCACGCGGTTCGAGAAGCGCGCGCGGGCATGCGCCTGGCATGCGGTGACCCGGTGGCATCGGGGTTTTGAAACGAAGGAACGGTGAAATCAATCCATCTCTTGGATGTGCGGCTCCAACCTGGAAGACATCACAACATCTTCCCGTTTGGTTTGGGGATTTGATTTAACCATCGGGGAAAAACACCACCCCACCTGAAGCAAAATCAACACATCCACGGAACCTTGAAATGGTTACAGTACTAACTAATTCCCAATTATGACCCTAACCTGTCTCGCCACCATTGATCCATATGGGACTGGATTATGGTTATACATACCTTTGCCTGCCTAGCCGCCCCAATGATCACCCTTGGAATGTCGGCAACCATTACAGACCTGGCACGGTGAATGGTCTGGGGAAGAGAGGACCTTGCACTGGGAGAGACCGGTTGAGAGGTCCTTAGAGATGACGAGAGGAGTCTTCTCGTCAACGGATGTGGCTGAAGAGACTGGAGGCCTGCAATCCCGAGAAGTGAACCAATACACACTAAGGAGCCCAAACAAATCCAGGCAGGGCAAGGTACAAAACGTTTTACAAAATGTTCATCATTGAACTATTTTAAAATCATTACACTTCATAGCTTTGCTGCCCAACTTGGCATGTTCAGAACTGCTGTTGGTGCCCTGATTTCACTCATTGTCGAGTAGCCATTGAGCAACAATGTGACAAGCAAGGTTCATAAGATTCATCAGGTTATAAAGGCCGTGAAAACGTGAATTCAAGACTGTACACCCACTATTCTGAGCCGGAAGGGCAATGTGACAAGCCATGTTCCAAAGCTGTTTGTGAGAGAACTCCAACTTATACATGCCCACACCTGTGAGAGCCGCATGATGGCCAAGAGCGTGCGTGGTGTGGTGTAAGACTTCTTCTCCTGGATCCCGTCACGCTTCTCGTCATCGCCTCAGTGAAGCAACGAAACATATCCTTGCAACATGTTGCAACATGTTGCAACATAGGCCAGTTTCTTCAGCCCTTTAAATAAAACAACTTGATAACTCTACAGCTGTTGACGCATCCCGCCCCAGATTCTCTGGCACGAGAGCCTCTTTCCCGAGAGGAAAAATAGTTGAACCAGTTCACTGCACGACTGGCAAAACTGGTCCTTTACCTCATCGATGAGTGCGTCTTATTTTTTGGGGGGGAGGGGGCATGATCAACTCCAGCAACATGAGGTCTTTCACCGGAAGCTGCGGAAAAACCCGGCATCGGGACCCATGTCATCTGCCATGGCACGCATGGCAACATAGGCATCAGCGATGTCATTGCGCAACGCATCGTCCAGGACAGGCTCATAGCTTCGGGCCTTCCTGGTTCATGGTGGATTCAGATTCGGAACATCGTGTCCAAAGCCAGATCTCTCCCATGATACACCAGGAAACAGCTATATATATAAGGCTAACTTACTATAGAAACATAAGGAAACAAGGATTAAACAAGAAACTGTGGAAGAAATAAGAAACTGTGGAAACCCTGGACTCGTTCTTTTCTTGAACTATATCAACAACATAGCGAGTGTGTTAGGGTGCTCATGTGGGGACACGGAGGCAAAGATCTTGGGCACGGCAACATGATGCAACAAATATCAACAAATGTTTTTCTCAAAAGGCTTTGGGTGGCTGCTTATCACAGACCCAAGCCAGGCAAATGCTCAAACGCATTGTCTGCACAACAAAGTGAGCCACCCCTGAAATGCAAGAAACCCATTCTGCCAATGCACTTTAGGATGCACATGGCCAAAACCCTGATCACATCTGGCAACAGAACCATACAAAAAGAACCCTGATCTTGAAGAAAACAGTGAAATTGAATATGCACTTGCCCACCCCCATTTCTTTTCGGCCATTCTCTCCACCCTTGCGCTTCTTCACTCGGGTCCGCCTCACGAAGGCACGCATGAACTTGTGGTTGTAAGGCTTGAAGCCCAAACCAAGGACATCGGAGTCTTCGAGCTCCATGCCACCCTCGATCTCCTGGCACAGAGATGCCATCGGCTGGGCATGGCTGCATGGCGGCATGGCTTGAAAATCCCACATCCCCACAGAATCCAGTGACAAATGGTTCACTTTCCAGGGATTGAGCTACGGCAGAAAAAATGAGTTACGGCAAAAATTATTGCCTCAGCAGTCTACGGCAAAAATTATTGCCTCGGGAGGGTCTAGGTATACGCCTTCAAATCCACAGGAATGGATCTGTTGACCACATCCCAAACTTGTCTTCAGGATCTTTCACGCTCTGTCACAGCTCAAGACCTCGCCTTCTTCTCGTAAGCGCTGTGCACCTTGGTGACATGCTCCGCCAGCTGCTTGTCCTGCGTCCGGCGAAAAGGAGGCAAACAAAGCGTCTGGGACGCGTCTGAGGGGAAAGCATCCGGGAAACGGTCCTGCTCCGCTCTTACTACAATTGCAAACCCTAGGGGTCCAGTCGTACCTTCTCAGAAGGCACTTGGACCCTTCTGGCACCTACATAACAGTGTCGAACACATCACCGTACCCGACAAGGCACGACTGGATCCCTAGGGAAAGAAACCATCGCCAAATCTCAAAGAACTCACCGGACTCGGGGGCAACGACTCGTGTAGTCCCAAAGGTCCAACTTCCACAATCGTGGCACACGTTCACAGCGAATTCGGGTGAGACCTCCCATCCTCGCCTTGTCACAGTCTACAGTGTCCAACAGAAGGAAGACCAAATCGAAGCGGGAAAGCAAGGCGGCGGGCAGGTCGATATTCTCCTCAGCCATTGTTCTGTGCGTGTGTGCTGCGCGTGGGTGCAGGTTGCTTGGGAGTCGTTCTCAGCAGTTGCATGAGTTGCATGCACAGTTTGGTAGCTTTTCCTCCCTGCAAGTTGCACAATGCTTTGTGTGCAAAATTCTCCATGTAGGACTAAATTGTGGTTCTGGAATGTGCTGGGTTCAAACAGCTGCCACAAGGGAAATAACACCTCGAACAGTCCATTATATGGTCTGAGAAGCTTTGAGAAACAATATTGAATATTGACAGTAATTAGTAAATACGCATGAAACTGCCACAGGCGGGAATCCATCTTCTACCGCATTCTGCGCTTCTACCTACGACCACGACAACCGTCGCCCAGGGCACCACTGGCGACTTGTAGGGGTTGTAGCGGCCGTAGACGGGATTGGCCGCTGCCAAAATGGTGGTCCTGGCCAGTCGCAGCAGTTGGTGCCGTGTTGTTGTTTTCTCTCTCCTCACCCACACGCACACCAAACTTCCCAGATCTGGTGAGCGTTTGGTTGATCGCTTCGCGTTTGCCATGAAACAGCGACTGCGTCGTTTCAGCTCCTACCAATGCGTCGTTTCAGCTCTCCTGCAGCCTACCAGGTTCTCCAACATACAGCTACCCACTTCACTAATGACAAATAATGAATTCGCTAAGCTTGGAAGAAAAACAACTCCCACGGGGCCCCAGCTACTCGATCTCTTCAGATCGATCCTTTACATCGGGTGCCGGATTTGGAATTGCCGTTCGCTCCCCGGTTTGGCCTCCAGTCGTACCTTCGTTTCGAAGGTGGGACTGGGATGGGTGCCAGGAGGGTCTAAATACCTGAGGAGGTACGACTGGAGGTGTAGGGTCCATCTTCGCCCGAACGCCCAAGCGCAGCAAGGTCTCCGGCAGTTCAGCGTCGTAGTGATGCCCGCTTTGGCAATGGAGACCGTCTGCTGCTCCATGACCTCCGCCGTGCGGAGCAGCAGCACGCGCGCACGCGTCCGATGCCAACCGGCAGTACCGGACCGGACCGAGTCGTTACATGTGACTCATGCTCAGCTTGCGAAAGGGAAGCTCATTGGTGCTTGGGTTCTTAGCAAAGCCCTGTTGGTGCCCAACACATCCAACAAACCATGAAGTGGAGGCCCACCGTGGCTCTACTCAAGGCCTTCCAATGCTCCAACCAGTTGGGGATGTTAAATGGGGGGTGGCGCAACGCACCTAACTGGGGGGGGGCCATCGATTTTCTGTTCAAGTCAGAATCTTGCTGCAGGGCTCTCCTTTCAAACATGTCCGCAATGCAATGGCTAATGGAAATGCACAAAGTTCAGGTTTCTGGCCATGCAACAAAAGCACTCATCCAATCACAAAGGTTGGTCTTGGTGCTGGGGGAGGGCCCATTATGTTATACACCTTCAAGGATTCCACATCTTTTTTCAACGCCTCCCTCCTCAGTTCGCCCAGTCCAATGATTTCTGCCACCCCGATGAACTAACATGAACTAACCACCTCACAGCTGGACTCAGCTTCGGGACCTGATCCAGCAATACAGCACCGTTCCCAAATGTTCACCCAACCCACGATCCATAAACCTGGAAATCTTTACCTACACTCGAACAGACTGCCCCAACTGATCGGCGTGCCACTCGGCTGCGTCTGGGACATGGAATGGATGGACACTCCATGTCTGCCCGGTCCTCGTGGATCGCTGTTCGATCACCCTCCTCCATCTTGTCGAACTCATCGATGCAGCAAACTCCCATGTCCGCCAGCACCAACGAGCCACCTTCCAGTGTGACCTCGCAGAGAGTGTCCGACATCGCTTTCGATCGCAGGCCACTGGACCCTTTCAAACCAAAGCATCAGTACCCAAACACTCCAGGTATGGTACATATATATATATATGCCCACACTGATCTCTGAAACCGCCCAAATGTACGGAAATATGCCATACATGGACGTTTGGAAACATAATATTCCATCAAAGTCCATCTTGCTCCGATTCGATCGTGACAGTCATGGGGCACTAAGCAAGGCGATCACACTGCTCAACCTACCACTGGCAGCCGATCTAGACTCAAAACAAGTCCATGATACAGATTTGCAAGGTGCTTTTGGTGAACGTGAACTACCACAAGCAAAGACAAAACATGAAAACACAAACACATGACATGACTTTAAGGGACATAAAATGCATTCCTTACTGGAGATGCCTTTGCCTACGTCCCACGCACTCTCTCCCCAGTCTCTCTTTCGCCTCGCCCGTGGCGTTGTCGCGGTTCACCGTGGCAGTCAAACCGACACCGGTGGAGCCCTTGCCGGTGGTGTAGACCGACCTGGTGGTGGGTGCAGACCGACCGATCGGTCCAAAACGGAGGAAGAGATGGTTCCGATGGTGGAAGAGATGGAGGATTCGACGTGGTGATTCTGGCAATGGTGATCAGTAGTGTGGTGCCACGTTTTAAAAAGGTCACTCGAATTCGAAAGTGTAGGTACAGTAGTTGGACTTTGAAACCATTTTGTGACCTAACTCTCATGTCAGCAAGCCCAAGCTGGCAAGCCCAAGCGCTCCCAGCGGGGTGTTGTTGGCCTTCACGGACCCGAACCGCTTTCGCCGAGCCGAGGGTGTGGGCGGAGCCGCCTGGGAGCAATGGCACAAACCTGCTTCAGCAACTGGCTCTTGGCCACCTGGGATGGGGCAAAATCCTGCCAACCGGATTTGTGGCAGGTGGCCTCTTCTGGGTTCTACATGGTTCTAACATCTTCTAGGGACTTGACTTGATCATACTTGATCCATAAGCCAGCTCCAAGGACCATCAGCGGACCCCATGCGGAGGGCATTGGATCGTGATTTTGCTTGATGTAATTAGGTTGAAGCCTGAGAAACATGCACCTCTGAAAGAGTATCCTTGGTGAATCTGGGCGAGCTCATGTGTCGGAGGGCCCAGAGTCCGGTCGAGCGAGCGAGCATGTGATCTCCAGAACGTTCATCCGCACCTGCAAGCCTTTCAAGAGAGATGGAATACCTATGCCAGCAACCTCCAACAGGTCGCTAGTTGAATCATTGGGAAGGGCCTCAATTGGTGACCTGTCGGAGGGTGGTTGATGTTCCTAGTCAACGTATCTGGCAGGTCCGATTCCATGCGACCTCATTCTGCACGTTCCGCCGCATCGATGCGTCGTCGTGAAAACGACCCAATCGATGGTAATTCGATGCTCGGCGTTCACACACACATACATACACGGATCCATCGATCGGTGAGTGACATTTCAACAGTAACCTAGAACCCATGCATTGGCTCCAAAACAGGAGTCAATCAGGTTCTAGGAAAGTGTAGATCTTCCAAGGATCCTAATCTTGCAAGTGATGCTGGGAATGGTCTTTGTTCAGGATTGAACCTGATGTGCGCAGTTGGTACTTGGTTCATCGTTGTCGGATTTTGTTGGGCTTACGAGCAGCAAGTAATTTGGGTCAATCAGTTCTGTTTGGGGGTGCATCCCAATTGAACCCAGTGATCTTGAGGTGTTTCAAACATGTTTCTCCTTACAAACATGTGTTGATCTTTTACCCACTGCAAATCACTGCGAACTGAGAAAAAAACAAACATTCCAAAAACAACACCCGGCCTCCTCCATGTCCCCCACACGAACCCATGGTCAGTTCAGTGGCTCCAGGGTCTCCCATCATCAAGGTGTGGATGTCCCCACGGATTTTCAGGCCATCCTGCTCAGCGTCTGTTTTTTTCCACTGGAGAAGGCAGGTTGGCGTTGCTATCATACGGAAAGTGTTGTTATACTCTTTGTAGATTTGGTAATTGCTTGAGTCATTGATTGGATTTGATTAAATGGTTTCAAGCATTTTTTGCGACAGCCATTGTTCTGGGCCTCGGTTCAACTGCCCCAGGCCCTGCCCACACATCACACCCACAAGGTTTTAGAGCAGGACTTCATTCAGCAATTGTTAGGCTGTTAGGACTTGAATTGTTGGATGCCTTCACCCTGCAGCACACAACAATGACTTAAGTATCTGTTGTATGCGTTTTAAATGCTTTTCCTTTTAAAGAAACTGAACCGCTGCAGACAATGTCCTTTCAAACCAGGGTCCCAGCTCCGGGATTTTAACGGGTGTCTCCAACGCCCGCTCACGAGGTTCCTGTCGAATCAAAGCAACATCATATCCAACACGAAGCACAATATAGTATAATAGATGCATGGATATTATGGGATCCACCCAACACTAACCACACATTTATAATGGGATGCATGGCCATCATGAATTGACCGCCCCCCTGGGGGCGGTCAGAGTCCTGCATCTGCTTGGTGTAGGAGCCGATGAGCACCAGCAACAATGCCTTCTTGACATCCTCATGTCCTGGGCTGCATGTGTGGTCACATCTGAGGTCACTAGAGCCTGCAGCCTGCAGCCTGCAACCCCCCTTGAGACACGGATGATCAGGCAGCTTAAGACACTGCAGGCAACCCACATACCCACTCCCAACTTTGCGAGCCATTGACACCCCACGCTAGAAAGACTAACAAGAGCTTACAAGAGCCACCACCGACCACACGCCAACGAACTCTTGACTCTTGATGGACAATCCATTCTGCACTGACACCATTATTCACTATTCATGGTCCACCATTACGGGTCAATGATATCACCATCTAGCAGAAAATCACTTGTAACCCCACAATCACAGCTATGTTCTTCTTCACCACAGCCCAAAAAACACACAGCCGGACGTTTTCAAAGCGTTCTTTTGAGATCCCCGGATACTTTGAAGCTGCTGGATGCTCCTGGCACCGATTTGGGGAGCGATCTCCGGTGGCCAAGGCTCCGAAAATCTCCGGTGCGATGGACTTGGCGGCGTGCTCGTACAATCCTCGCGTGCGGCGCGATGGTTGGGTTCGATGGTTGGTTCTGAGAGGTTCGATGTGTGAGTGGGTGCGTGCCTTTTCAATAACACATGACATATCCCCGTCACTTGTTCCATTGGGGTGGCATTTTATAAGCACAAGGCATCCTCATTTTATAGGGATACAAGTATATGAGGGGGATCATGACATATCATGATCATGGTTTTAAACAAGCCCTGAGCCCTTTGAGGAACACAAACATACTGCATCTAGCAACAGGAGAATGCCAAGTTGGGTCTGTGCTTTGGCACCAGTTGGTTTTGTGAAGCATGGTTCAGCGGCTTCTTGATGGTTCCAAGATGTTCCAAGTGGCATTTTTAAAGGTTTCAGTGATCGGTGCATGCAACGAAAACCCCATCTGCTTCACAAGGCGCGGATTTGTGCAGCTTTGGTACTTGGACCAAAGCTGAAACCTCATCCCCTCTTCACCCATCCTCCCCCCCGCCTCCCTTCACCATGGCGGACTCTTCTTTTTTCGGCCGAGCAGCGGTCGCCCGAGTGCTGCAGGGCCTCTTGGATCTTGTGCTCCATGACATCCTGCAAAGCGCGCAGCTGGACAGAGTTGAACGGTCTAAGTCTACGCACGATCGGACCGAATCTGAATCACATCACTGGGAGAAATGACAGGGCTGGAGCTGTGGCAAGCGGAGATGCACAGAGAAATGTGGACTCTTGATTTATATAGTCAAAAACTCCTTGCGAATAAAGCCACATACAGCCACCCTACACGAAGAGGCTTTAGAATCTCAATGGGATGTTTTTACTAATCAAGAGGAGTCTACATAAGAGTATAGGGCAGTGTAGGGATTCCTCTTATCTGGAACCTGACGTCCCCAGAAGCAAAGGGCTAGGTATTTCGCAGGAAATCTGTGGTCTTGCAGCTGCACTGCACAACCCTTTACAACTGACCATGTCTTGTTGAAAGGTATAGGTCTGCTAAGCTGAGCAAGATTGAATTCCACACTTTTGATCCTGGACTTTGGTAGTCGAACTCCATGTCCAAAAGACCTCCACGCGAGAAGCAAGCTCGAACAAGCGATTGCTCGAAACCCAATCCTCATCCACAGCAGTCTCACTGTAGCCCTTCCTGAGTGGTGTCTGTGGTGTCTGTGCTTGTCAGGACCCAGATTGACTGACACTCATCTGCAAAATTCAGTATATCCCTACATTCATTCTGAACCCTACAAGTATATAGTGCAATTATAGCTCAAAAGGACCTTCTGAGCCTTCCTTGCGGGCCGAGCCTGGCAATTGCCCTGGGGTGCTCAGTTTCCTTATCTACATCTAAACCAGGCTAAAATGCATGTCAGCAAAGTGTGTTGTCCCTGAGCACATATGCGACGGCTCATGCGCACGGCTAACATAGCCATGTTGACGAATTCTGGCCATTACTACTAGTAACAATGTTCGCTACTAGGGGCTCCGGGCATTGCTACTAGGAGCAAGGACGCTACTAGGGGCTCCTGACCTTACTACTAGGAGCAAGAAGCTACTAGTAACAATAAAGCTTGCTAGACTGGCCTTCATCAATGGCATTGAATGAGCACCACACATCGCAGCGCGCAAGAGTTGGCCGTTCGTCCCAGCTGGAGCAAACCAAGAGGTGCATGTGTCGAGGTGCTGCCCTTTGATGCAAAGGTGTTTTTCCAATGTGAAAATGTGATGACATGTAAGATGTATATTAAAAACACCCTGAATCACTCCTACATTGCTAGTTGACAATGACTGAGAGTGCTCGCATGGACGAGCAATCCCTCAAACCAGCACCGCCACCGCCAAAAACTCCTACAGTAGCGGTCCTAGCGTCTTGTGCTTCTGGATGTGGTGAGCCTCGATGAACATCCTCTGTGTGGTGGGCGTGCGCATCTTCATCTTTTGGAAGTAGGGCAAGCTGTGAGGGTAGTAGACCTTAGCCAGTGACATCGAGACATGGTCGGAAATGTATGATCACGTGATATTATGTGTAATTATAAAATCCGCCAAATCACCAAACAAACACATGTATGATCCCACCATTCTGCACACAAGTCTTCTTCGATATGTACCGTCACCCTGGGGCGCACAACATTTAGCAGCCGGACCAAACCCAGAAGTGGTGAGATCCAGTCAGCCCTTGATCCAGTCATGCAGGATGAGCGGAGTCACCAAAGAAACCACAAAGAAGGTACACCACCTGAACACTCCCTGGGACTGCCATATCTACCTACATTGAGAATCCAAACCACCCCAATCTAATTAGGCATAATTAGGCAGTCCCAGACAGGTCGTGTCTAGGCCAAACATGCTGAAGATTGTGACAGGTGTGCTGTTCCGGATGAATCCGTGGGATCCTCCGGTCGCTCCAAAAATGCTGAAAGGCAGGCAAGCCGGATTCGGCAGGATTCTCCAAGGATCGGGGTTCACATCTTCATGTGTTTCTTCGGCCACCGAATCCAAACAAGACCTGCAAGGGCTGTTTTTTTATAGGCTCGGATTTGCTTAAAGAACCTGTGAAAGGTAGAAAATACATTTTCCTCCGGCCCCAGAATGGGGATTCAACCATAGGGGAAAGTAACAAATCACCTTAAGCAAAACCTAAAGGCACCTTCCTAGCCCTCTATGTTGCCGAATCTGATAGATTTCCCAGTTTCTACCCGCCCCAGTCTTGCGTCTTGCCGCTAAGTCCGCTCCTGCTCTCATCCACACACAAAAGCGGCGCACACCGAGGGGCGCCGGTCAAGGTGATGGCATCACCCGCCAGGACCTGACGTGTTAAGTCCCCCTCCAACAGCACAGAGATGGACCTGCCGCCGCGTGGGGCCATTGAGTGCGCCCGGCCGGGGCGGCGAACCATGCCGAACGGATGCAAGCAGGAACAGTGAACAGAACCGAAGTGAACTGAACAGATTGTGTTTTCTCCGGTGGTGGGAGCTCTCTAAGACCTCACAGCTGTGGTTGCGCCATTAAAAGCCTTGGGAGGAAAAGTGAAGAGAATCTGTGCGCTTCCCTCTGGCAGTCTTGATGTTCGCCAGACCTCCTCCTTTGATACAGTGGGTGTGCATAACAAGCTATTGTGCTTGGGTGTTGCCAGTGTGCTACGCCTATAGGGCCTAGCTGGACCAAGTACATCCGAATATCCACTCCTTCAAGGTTCACTTCGAACCCTTGATGGCAAGCCAAGTGTATCCACTCCTCCGTGCTCGTTCACAAATCAACCCAAGAAAAATCCGTGGTCATTGTTAGGTAGAGGGTCACCATCCAGGCATTTCATAAGGGATAGATAGGGGAAATAGTCATCGTCATAGCGTCTCAGCAGCATTGGGGATCCCAAGAACTAGTTCTAAAATGGTTCGCGCCTGGGTACGCCTCCTTGAGGCACATGGTCCGACATCTCTTGGACCTTCATCTCCTTCAGAAGTGCCGCAGGGGATCGGGAGAGACGGATGGAGAGTAACTCCAGCGGTTGAAGTGAGTGTGGCGCCCGGACCTTCACGGATGAGTATCTAGCACCAAATGTCGCAGGAAGGCCCAAATCTGCTTTGACTATCCAAAGACCCAGTAAAACCTGGCCTTTTACCTCCTAAGTATTGGTTTTGTATGACCATCTCCAGTAAAATGAGGTCTTTGACTTGTAGGGTATTGTATATAAATGCCTTCAACCCACCCTTGGACCCAGTGAACAAACGAACAACAGATTAAGCCTGAAGGTGATTGATGTCCCAGCTCGTGAGCTACGACCCGCCAGCACCAGTCTACATCCTCGTGTCTGTCGCCTTTACATGTGCATGTCTTGGAAAAGGTCTCCATGTATTTGGTGGCCACTCCAAATACATCTATACTAACCAAAGCGCATGACCGTAAATATATGCTCGTCTTGTCATCCTCGGGCCTTCAAAGGTCGTTTTGATCCAATCCCTGGTGTATGCTCCTCTGGGCAGGAGCCGACCGCAGAAAGCCAGTGTTCGCTGAAGAAAAAAGCAGGGGGCAACCAACCACAGCGGACATTCCAGGAGTACAACCTCCCCCTCCAAAGGACCATGACCCAATCGTGGGGGTCATCCTTCAAAGGACCGATGAAAACTCTGATGAAGACCACTGAATTTGGAGATGTTCACCATGTTCATCTGCCAACAGATCCTCGTTCTTTCCTGTCACATCCCGATCCTGATGCTTGGTAAAGGCCGAAGTTCGAATGTTGCACCGGAGGTTGCCTGGGCACCAGCGAAAGATGGCGAACCATTCATCTCCATTCTGTCCCAATGCATCCCCATGACGTCCAATGCATCTCCATTCTGTCCAAATGACGCCCTTCGACGGTGCCGGGCCCAACCACAGGCTGGTCGGCCACCCCCGAGCCACGCAGGCGTCCGTAACACACGTGGGCCGACATGCTTCTTTTCCCTTCGCCGACGTGTGGAGATGAAATGGCTGCGGAACTCAACACGAAAGACCCAAAAAAGCCCTTCTACCAACATGTATACCAACATCTCAAGCCCCCCTTCTTTCTGTGTGCTTGTTTTTTCTTTCCCTTTTCGGATGGCACTGTCTAAATCTGCACCGGGCCCGGCCTGACTGCTTGTTGTCCCGGCATTTCTGGGATGGGCATTCCTTCGGCGGAGTGTAGTTTTCGCCTCCGGCCGAGGAGCGAAAGGCCAACGGATCATGCCCGGCATCCTGGGGCTCCCACATCCTTAGGTGGTTAGACTCCCTTGGAAAAACCACCTCAACCACCAAAGCTGAGGTAGTTGAAGGTCCCCCAAAAGGGATGATATGCTCCATGAACGGACTTCCCGGCCTCCAGATGGATGCAAATGGACGAAAGCTGTCCCTAGGGATCCAGTCGTACCGAACCTCAAAAGGTACGACTGGATCCTCCTGGCACCCACCCCAGTCCCACCTTCTGAGAAGGTACGACTGGATCCCTAGGGATTATAATACTCATTATAACTTGGGCCAGAGGCTGTCAGATACTTTTTGCTGGGGCTTCCGGAGGGTTGTCAGAGATGAAGATTGAACATGGTGACGACACTCCAAATACCAGTGACTCAGGGCGGGCCCTGAGAAGGGTCCACTTCAAGCACCACTCAATACACAAATCTGTTGCCAAACTCCATCAATCAAACCACTAAACCCTTCCACAAAAAACAGGACACCACAAGGTCGTCGCCCTATGGGGGACCAATCATGGGTCGTTTTCCATGTCGTCCATCCGCCGATGTCGCCGGCCCGCAGTCCATCGTCCGCACCTTCCACCGATTGAAAGATCTCAGAGCCACAGGTCTCGCAGTGGTAGGTGACCACCTCCACCTTCGGCTTCACCTGCCACGCGGCCCATCGCACGCTGTTCGGTGCAGGCTGTTCGGGGCCCATATCGGTGGGTGGTGTGGTCCGAGAGGTATGGTGGACCGAGGTGGCACTGACCTCCTGGAACATGCTGTTTGGAAGAACATGCCCAAAAAGGCTTTAGCGATGAAAGGTATTTAGAACCACAACACAGAACTCCCCATCATCTTCCTGTTCAATTGCTATATGCCTTTCATCTCAATCTGCTCCTCTTACAATCGACCTTCCCCGCATCGTTCCACCGCTCTCAACGAGCTCACGCGCCGAAAGAGAGAGCCGGAACGAGCGAACCGCACGCCGAACCGAACCGAACGGACCGTGTCCACGTGGCAGTCGACGGCCTGAGAGAGATTCACCACGAGGCAGTCCAACTGGATCAGCGCCCCCACGGACTCCGCGCGAATCTGACCTCTCAGCGGGATGGCGAGATGGGCGAGGTTGGGGCGGTGCGCATGCGGGCGAGCGAGAAGGTGAGAGGGTCCGGTGCATTGATTCTTTTGTGCGGGGTATTCTTTGTGCATATTTTTTTTTATTTGGTAAGGGGGGGTTAAACGGTTTTTTGATGGGTGGGGTGATAAAAAGATGACACGAAGAAGATTGACAAGTTGGTGTGGCATGGTTTTGTTTGGAAGCGGTTTGGAATTGTTGGGGAACATCTTGGAAACTTGGTTTCAGTTTCCAGGAGGGGCCTGCAAGACTGTAAGACATACCAGGACTCAGAAGTTGATCAAGAGGTGACGAAGGGACCACTCTTGAGTCTAAGAAGAAACTTACTTTTTCTTATTTCACTACACACCCCTCAACGATCTGGATCAAAAGCATCTCTTTAGGCCCACCCATCCCAGCATCCTGATGAATATATATAACATCTAAACAGCGGAACGCGCAAGACATTGTATCAGCTGTCATTGACTGATACAGGGAAATTACATAACACTACACATATCTACAAATCCTTGTGGGCGGGGGGGGGGGGGCATGCTTCAAAGTGTCGTTTGTGATACCTGAGAGCTTGCACACACTGGCTCAATAGGCGGCTTTTTCCTCACCCATCTCAACCCACATTTCCAGTGTATTCCATCCTCAGCTCAATCAATCATGTTTTCCATCGAGAGTCATAATGTGTTAATGGAATAACATGGGTGCAAAGTACTGCAACATAACCCTCGCCACCGGTGTATCTTCACACCTATATACCCGCGACCAAGCAGCGGACAAGAACAATGGCAAACAACACCTAATCCTGACACCATCTGACACAGCATACAATACCCACAATCGGGCGATCGTCTGCCTCTTTTTTTTAGGGGGAACCTGATAAAACCAGAAGCTCCAACCAATCTCTCTAAGCAAGTTTTCGTTAAGGGAAGGGCCCCTCAACGGCTCGCCTCAACTGATGACCAGTCAAAGGGTGGAAGGGATCTCAGTTTTGGAGTTCTCTGTCTCTTCCCATCCTCAACGGCTCGACTAAACGGAGGACCAAACGAACCGATCGAACCGAATAGGTCGCGTCCAGGGAACCCAGGGGGATGCTCTGGCAAGTGCCGCGAGGCTTGAAGCCTCGGTGCAGTTGGCGTTGGAGCTCCCAGGTTTTTGGCATGGTGAGGTGGTGTTTTTATAAGTTGTTTCTATAACAGAATTGTTCCATGTTTCTAGAACATCTCAAAACACACATGTCCTCCAGGTTTTCAGTTATTTTGAAGTGTTTTGAGATGTTTAAAAACATGGTTAGAAACTGCGAATATGGTTTCTTTCAGAGTTGATGTCTTCGGAGGCCAAAAGGCGAGCCCACCTCCTGTTCATGCTCATGTTTCAGATTGTGCACAGGAATTCCACCCAGAAACTGATGGAGTTCAACTCCTTGAAGGCACCCAAAACAGCTCGAGCTATACACACCTGAACACCAAATCCTTGATAATCCTTGAACATCTTCGCCACCGAGCTGTGTGATAAAACCCGGCCACCCAACCCTCCCCTCCCCTCTGAGGACTCGAAGAAATGTGACCCGGAATACCTGGTGGAACGCCGCGCCAAACGGACGCGTCGGTTCCCAGACACGTCTAGAGGACTGTCATAGGACTGCCGTATATACGGCCAGGGGTGGTGGACTGGGGGTCTTTCTGGGGCGGCAGTCCGGACTGGCAGTCCCAGACTCGTCGGGTCTGGGAATGCTTTCTTCAGTGCCCAGCAGCGGATGTCCCAGGGATTCTTCAGCTTCGCGGGGACGCCGCAGTCCTTCGGCAGCGCTCCACCCTGTTGCTCCTGCGGACCGTGGGTGACCGGCGGTCACGCATAGTCTGTTGTGGTTCTGGGTCGGTGGCGAAACAAACACGGAAGGAGTGTGAAAACAAAGCACCCGGTTCTTCCAAGTGGCCCGGTTCTTCCAAGTGGTCCGGTTCTTCGAAGTGGCCCAGTTCTTCCAAGTGGTCCTATAGGATGAGTTCACATGCTGTAGGCCTGCTAAAGGTCAGAAATGGAGATTCCAAAGGGGTCGACTGAGGGTCATGGCAAGTGGCTTTTGTCATAGCAACTCCGACACCAAATTCCAAGGCGTGGAAATCGGACGCTCTCACTGGGAAGCCAACCACGGACATAAGACATAAGAGACCCTGCTCAGTGATCTACCTGCATTTGACAAGGGACGACCCCTCTGGCATAAAAGCTTCTGCCTCACATGGAATAATTATACCCCTTGAATGGAGCAATCATGAACTTGTCAACTGTGTCGCATTTTGCTCTCCCATATCCCCATACAAAGCACCTCTGTCCGTACCACAGCCACACACGTGTCCGTCCCCCATGGGCGTGTCCCTTCCGTCCTTCTGCTTGCTCAAGCGTTCGCGCCAGCATTGCACCGCATCCCGCGCCTTGGCGGCACCCTCGGCGCGGTAGCCCCCGTCGCGCGCCGGTTGCAAGGCATCGCAGACCTGCAGGGCGGAGGTGTTCGGAGGCTGAAGTGGGCGGAGTGAGGTGGTTCGATGGACGTGGCGAAACATGAGCAAGAATGACGTGAGTCACGTGAGGTTTTGTATGTGGTTTTATTGTCATGTACAGTAGTATTTGTGCAAGAAATGCATATATTTGCAGCTCCTAAGTGCTACCAAGGCATCTCTTTGGAGGGACAAACTGCCATATACGGTAGCGCTGAGTTGTGTAGTTGTGTCGGTTAGATGCCAGCTTCTGCCAAGTATGACACCTCTATGGTTCAGGCTTGAAAGCAATCGTTGGTCCCATCCAAATCTACATGTCCTTCACACAGATGGGTGGACATACTCCTCTACTTCAGAGGATGTACCCCCACCCTTATAAGGTTATCCTTAGAGTCCATGGATTTTTCCTGTAACAATTTGTTGACCTGATGGCCCACGTCCCTGGCCTAGACACTATACTTACAGGACCTGCCGTACTTACACGCGACGTCTGTTGATTTCTAGCCTTGCCCCCCCTCCCCATGCCATTGGGCCATAGCCCCTAGTTCCGTTCCCTCCCTGCACGGCAGCACCGCAGCTTAAGCGCACGGGGAAGCGCTTGCGCTTGCGTGCGCATGCGTGCGCAGGGAAGTGCCTCGTAGAAGAAGAGGCGGTATCGCATCACGTTGCCCTCCACGCAGCTGACCAAGCTTTCGATGGATTGCTGCAAGTCCAGAACTGATTGGCTCCTGAGCCAGGCATCTGGGCTATAGACACAAGCAGGCATACAAAAATAAAGATGAAAAAAAGTGTTTATGCAGAAAATTTGGCAGGCCGAAGTTGAACTTAGGAAAGCTGTCATGTCACATGTCCCCCCAAAGACAGCTACTGTTTTTTTTTTGACACTAGTACCGATGTTCAACAACTAGCTGGACTGGGCCAGAAGCACTCTTCGAAGCTGGACTGGGACTGGGGGGGCCGCCGAACTTCGGAACGCCAAAAACCCTCCTGCGTGAATCGACCGTCTTTAGCAATGGCTACTGGGGGGTCCATGCTTGAGATCAACTAGGCAGCGAGTGGGCATGGGGACTTGCGATGGAGATCCATATAACTGTTATAATTAAGAGTAAAAGTTATTTTCAGTATGCTCGAACCATGTAGAAATGTGGAACAGGGAACAAACATCATCACCTTTCCAGAACTTAAAGAATGCCACTCTTCCATCGGATCTCTAGCTGAGTCCCTACTAAGTTCCCCTTCCTGCTGACTGATGCAGAACCTCTCCATCCACCAATCTAGCCCACCACCTGGAGGCCATCTCTGTTAAATTCACCCCACTTGGCCGTCGACTCAAATTCGAAGTCTTCGGCCAAACACGAAGTATAAAGGGACTGGCGATGACTGGCGAAAAAATAAACCTCGATTGGGGTGGTCTATTTTTGTTTCAGAGGCCTATATAATTGATTTTAATTGTGTATATACCTAGAATCCTGGAACCCATGTGACCTCTGTTGTGATAGGAAAAGACCATGTTTTGCCTCCCAAACAAGGGTCAATCAGGTTCTAGGTATATAATATATATATATATGATCCATGCATTTGTAGTTAGAAAAAACCAGTGCCCGGTCGGCTTTTTGGCCAAGGGTCATGTGAAGGTCCGGTTCCTTCAGCTCTTTCTTGCAGAACCTCGGCGGCGGAGACCCGCGACCCTCCGCTCTATCTCAGAGGTTCCCGGACAAAGGGCGACAGATCCCTTGGCGTTTCGTACGTCTTGGGGGGCTCCAGTCGCACCTTCTGAGAAAGTGTTTGGTGCTGGATGGCGTTGGTTTGGAGGGTCCAGTCATACCTCCTGAGGGTGTAGTTGGAGCTCTAGGGACTGTTCAAAAATGATCTAGCGTTGCATTGCCTTGATCTCATCTGCCTCATTCGAACTCAACCCTGACACCACTAACTCTGACAAACATTGTTTGGTGAGATCATCTTTTGCTCCCACGCAAGGAACCGCTAGGGCCCACATTTACTTGTCAGGGGATTATCAGCCAAACCCCCAGACAATCTCTTCATGAAACCTCCACACAAAAAAAATCCTTCGCTCCAGTCAAGACCCCTCAACCACCTTCATCACTCCACCTCGGCATGCTCATCTTCATTTCCTGCCGACCCTTTCTCTGCATCAGTGATTCGAAGCAGGTCTTTGTGTTGACGACAAGCACTCCAGCCGCCCAGCGAACCCGATCCTCCGATCTTCGGGTGTTCAGGGCGCACCACACGAGCAGCACGCTGCGCTCGGCCCCAGCTCCACGCTCCACCCTCCGCCCCCGAGCTTCACGATACCCTCGGCCGTGGGACTGCTCCACATCGTCCAAGTCGATGACAATCGTCCCAATCCGATTGTTCACCGCCTCTTGGAGCATCGCCTGATACCTCGCACCGTCGCACGCGACATCGGACCCAACGGAACGGTGTAGGACGAATTTCGGGGTGGCGGAGGCCACGTGGCTGGCGGTGGTTTAAACCGCGTTGACGCGGTTTTGGGAACTATATAAGTGGAAGGGGGTCTGGTGCTATCAAAGATTTGTTGCTCCTGCTAAGCTCAATAGACCTTAGCAAGACTTTATTTGGACTCCAAGTTATAGGGCGGCGTTCCACTGCCGACCCTGGCGTTCTTGGCGTTTTTCAGACTTGAACACGTTGCATCGCTCCAAGTATGACTAGCCAAATGCATCGATCCAAACCCAGACACTCCATGTATGCCATATATGCCTACATTGGGGTGGTTTGGAGGGCCGAAATGAAGGACTCCAAGCAAATCTGGCCTTCTTGCGATCAAAGGCCGTTCTTGCGACCAAAGGCGCTTCTTCTTCCCGTACTTGACGTCGTCACACAAGTCAGACTCGTACGTTTGGATGAACTTCCTGAGGCCACGGACCGGGACAGACGAACACATCGTCTTCGAAGGTGGACCCCCAAGCAGAAGCCTTGTTCCCCGTTCGTGAGCGCGTCTTTTCTCTGGCCTTGCAGCTTCTTGAATCTGAGAACCTCCCTTAAGTGTAAACCCCCTCCATCATCCCTAGCATCCGAAAAACAGGCACCTTTTCGGGGCTGATGCCTTGTGATGGAGAAGCCTGCCAGGGATCCCAATCAGAAGATCGCCCCTTCTGCTTGCCACCCACATCTCAGACGATGCCATCCACGAACATGCACGGTGCTCCGCCAGAGAGTTGGCCCAAACACCCACCGGGCTTGGGATATCCACCAGGCTTGGGACACGAGAGTCCAAAAAACCCGAGAACCTTTGGGAAGATTCAGGTGGACGTGCCGCGCGGCCAGATCGACACTGAATGAGGCCTGGCATGAGGCGGCCTCCCTGTGCTATGCAGATCTATGCAGCATGCATTTGTTACATAGCGGCATGCTTGAAAGTGTTGCGCGGCGGAAGCAAGTTGGTTTCACCATGTTTCACACAATTCTTGTGTAAGATGCCCTCTATGTGTGGGTCAAACTCATCATCCACACTAAATCAGGGTCCTTCAACATCCCCGCGATAGACCTTTAATTTGTTAATGGAACATGACATGGTGGTCACACAGCTTGAAGCTGGGTGAAGAACACTGTACCTTCTTTCGTTTGGAAGGGGGCTCGTCCAGGGCATCTAGGTGACGCCCCATGTCCAAATGGTACATGATATATGCCGCCTTAGTCACACCATAAACGCTCAAAGTTGAAGAAGCCTGACTGAGAAGGAAGGCAAGTTCAACAGGAATCAGGGCATCTTGGGATTGAGGCACCCAAAAAGAGGCATACAACTGCAAGAGTAGGGACAGCGGTGCTTCAACGGACTTCTCACGCATGATAATTGCGAGATAGGTGCCTGTAGGGAAACCCCGGCGAATGGATGCAGTAAATGCACCAAAGAATACGCCCCACTTGTCGCATTCATCGGGTTCTGACTGCATCTTCACAAGACGCGTCTCTGAGAATATTGACACAAGCAGGATGGCCACTTGAAATCCAAAAACCCAGTACAGTCGAAGCGAGAGGTAGGTGTATGCACACGCTCCATCCAAAAGAAAGTCGGCCCAAAACACTGCCATGTCAATGTACATCATGAACTGCATGGGCAAAGGGAGTAGCTTTGAGCCGCCCTGTGTTGATTTGCACGAACAGTTCCTCGGCCCTGTCCGAAATGCGACCTTGCAAAACTTCATCAGCGACTGCAACACCAGTGACCTCGTTGGCTGTGCAAAAACACCTGGCGGCGCAACACCACCAACAAAGGGACCCCATGTCCAAGCAGGACAACATTGCCACCGTGCCGACCATTAGAGCTGACAAGGTCGCAATGTCCGTTTGAGGCATTGCTAGCCGTTGCGTGAGCAATTCTCTGTCCGCCTCAGGAGTGAATCCCCATGTGAGCAGTGAGCCCTTTGTCTTCCAACTCGTCATGAAGAAAGAATATGTAAAGTTGACCTCCAATCCCGCCAAGGGTGCGCAGCAAAAGGCAAATCACTATAAAAGCCCTAGCCGGAGTTTGCTGCTGCGACAGGCCAAATGCTGAATAGTTCTCTGGGTGAAGCAACTTCAGCGAGAGCAACCTAAGGCCATCCTTGCAACGATTCCGTGATGCAAACAAGCCAGCCCTATGCCCGGCGAGGGTATACATCACCGCAAGCACCCCCAAATAGACGCCAAAGTGGACCCTGCCAATCATTGACAAGTCTCTAACTGTAAGAGAGAGGCCCAAAATGCTGAACCAAACCTTCCAGGACTTGAACTTCTGCTCCTCAGCAAGTATTTGATGGGATGCCATGAGCCTGCTCTGTATTGTGAAGGAGTCACCCATGGGCAACTTCAATGAGAATGTTCAACCACGGTAGCTTTGAGCCTTCGAAGAAAACGCATGAAAGAGCTTGAGAGGGTCTGCCTTTTTGGTTGTGAAACAGGGGGGCAAGTCTGGTCAAACAATCTCTCTGTTGGCACAATCGCAGTAGTTGTTTTATGTTGTTTTTGTGTTCTTAATCCTGCATTTTGTAATTCAATCATGCACACTTGAACACTTCAATTTGAGTCAATTTGACTATGTCATC